ATTAATTAATTAAACTTCTCTATATTATTTAAATTTCTAACAACCCCAAATTATTTATTTACCACCTCCAAATTATTTACCTTAATAAAAAGGATTTTTCATAATTTCCAAATATAAAATTACTATGTTCTAAATTCTAAAAATCTTCATTTAAGTTTAAACCTCAAAATCACACTATCAAAAATTCAATAATACTTCAAATATTTATAACTAAATAATATAATCAAAACTTTAATGGTATAACTACCATATACATATATATATATATTCATAAATAATAAACTTTTTAGCTACAATAATTATTTAACCTCCAGTCACCCAATAAATAAAACTAAACCGATTAAAACCTCAATAATATATCAAACAACCCAAATAAATTATTTAACTTAAATTTAATCGGTAAAAATATGGTATATCTCATACATAACAGATTTTCCACTAAATAAATTAATTTTAAATACTAAAACTAGCAAATAGAGAATTCTAAACCGATTAAAATTAACAACTCATTTACTTCTAAATTTCTATAGTCATCTTTTGTCAAAACTCAATAGTTATATCATATATAAGTCTCAAAATTTTCTCTAATCACTATGATAATACTACTATTAGGAAGCATAAAATATATATGAAATATTTATGAAGAAAGTTTGATGAAAAGAGATAATTTCATGTACCTAAAATATCTTCAAAGCTTGCCCTCTGCTTCACCGGTATGATTCTCTCGCTCACACACTTCGGCCCTCTCTTTCTCTCTTTTCTTCTTCTCTCTCTCTCTCTTGCGCCTGCCGTGGGGGAAAGAATGAATTGTTGGGGGTGTATTTAACACCCCCTGCTCATTTATTGGGGGGAGGGGTTTTTCAACCCAACCCCCAACTTTCCACCGCCCCCTTCCCCAACTTTCCACCAATTTCGGTGGAAAGTTGACTTTTTTTTTTAATAATAATATTATATTATATTATCTTATATTATTTTATTTTTCAATTACTTTTTTTTTTTTTTTAGGATATTACATGTGACAAACAGGGTTTTCCAATGAAGCAGGGAGTGCTGACTCCTGGCCGTGTTCGTCTCTTGCTGCATAGAGGTTAATGTTCTATACATGTTTTCTTTCTTCTTCTTCTTCTTCTTCTTCTTCTTCTTCTTTTTTGGTTTCCTTTTGCTGTGCAAATGATGATTTTTTTCCTCCTTCTGTTTGACTGAACAGGAACTCCTTGCTTCAGGGGCTATGGCAGAAGGAACGGAGAGAGGAGAAGGAAGTCTGTTCGGGGTTGCATTGTCAGTCCAGACCTCTCTGTTCTTAACCTGATTATTGTGAAGAAAGGTGAGAGTGATCTTCCAGGATTGACTGACATTGAGAAGCCCAGAATGAGAGGACCGAAAAGGGCTTCAAAGATTAGGAAATTGTTTAATCTCTCCAAGGAGGATGATGTCCGCAAATATGTTAACACGTACCGCAGAACCTTTACAACCAAATCTGGTGAGTCTACTGTGCTTTATTTGATGTCTGATCATGAACAAATTAAATCTTTAGTATGGATATTTTGTGATGATGTTGCTTAATATTTTACAGGCAAGAAGGTGAGCAAAGCTCCCAAAATTCAGAGGTTGGTTACTCCCTTGACTTTGCAAAGGAAGAGGGCAAGGATTGCAGACAAGAAGAAGAGAATAGCCAAGGCCAAGGCAAAGGCCGCTGAATACCAAAAGCTGCTTGCCAGCCGACTGAAGGAACAGCGTGAGCGTCGCAGTGAGAGTTTGGCCAAGAGGAGGTCTAAGCTCTCTGCGGCATCTAAGCCATCAGTTACTGCTTAATCTCTCATGTTCAGTCCTCCGTATTGGTTTTGATGGTAAATCAGTTAATGAGATGTCATGGTAGATTTAGATGGATTTTATTTTTCCACAGTTTGGTGCTGATGGGAAGTTCACTATAGATCAACTTTCTTTTGAAGTTTTAGTTAAATTTTGTTGCCGCTGGCTTCTGTAGTTGTTGGAAGCTTGACATACAACAGAGCTTATTCTTCTGGAGCACAGTACTAATGTGGAAGCACATTGTGCGTCAACCCTGTGAATTCAAGTCTCAAAACGTGGAATTGTTAGGTCTCCAAAAAAAATTTAAAAAATAAATCGCAAATATCGATTCAGATATAAAATAAGAAACTACAGATGCAAAGTAAATCTGCGCATTTTCCGTAGATTCCTCCTGAGCCATAACTTTAAGGGTTGCGTTAGGACATAGGAAATGGCATCTCTCCTGTTCTGAGATAATGATTTGCCAATATTCCTTTGCTAGGCTGCAAGATCTGAGGACATGGTTTAGGTCTTCCGAGCCCTTTCCGCAAGTCTCACATTTTGTTGCTGGCCATGTGCCTTCTCACCCTTTCGCAATTAGTGAGCAATTTGTTACTTAACACAAGCCGAAGGAAGGTTCTAATTCTTTGTGGCCTTTTCCGCTTCCATGGTAGATCCCAATGCGTACTGTCTTCATTCCAATAATTTGCTCTACCTACCTATTTAGACATCACGAGATTTCACCCAGCGGAATAGATTGAGCCGGGGGGAAGATGCTCAGGATTTGGTTAACAATGGCTGCAGTAGAGATTTATTAATTTACAATTAAGTGAATTGATATTTATAATTTATGTTTTAGAAAAAAAAGATGTCAGGAATCTATTGTCATATATTCAATCTCTTGAAATTTTATTGTCGTTCAGTTAGTGGTTTAGATTCTTAACTATGCCAGTGTTAAAATTAAAGCTGTTCACGGAACGGATTGGGACCAGGACAAGCCCGTCCCGGTGAACAATAACAGGACAGAAAATCTATCTTATGTCTCGGCCCGTCCCGGGGTTGTCCCGGTCCCGGTCGGGACGGGACGAATCCAGGACGTCCCAAACCTTTTTTTTTTTTAAATTTTTTTAATAAAATCTGATTTTTTTTAAATTATATTTTTTTGAGCTTAAACCTTATAAAAACATCTTTTTATTTTCTTTTTTATTTGTTTAGGCACTCTTAAACAAAAGCTCAAAATATTACATATAATAATCATTAAAAACTCTAAACAAAAGCTTTTAACACAATAAAAACTTGCTAAAAATTCTAATCATCAATAATCTCAAATCATTAACAAATATAAAAACTCTAAATAAATATATCTATAGTTCCATACAATAGTCTCAAATATTTAAAAAATATGAAAAAAATGATATTATATAAATAGGATAAAAAATTAAAAAAATAAAAAGGAACAGGGACGGGACTGGGACGGGATGACCCCGTCCCATGTCCCGTCCTGATCCCTTTTTTGTCCCGTCCCGTCCCAATAAGACCGGGACCGGAACGGGCCGACCGGGACGGGCCGACCTTAAACACTCCTAGTTAAAAGGAAAATAGAAGCTGCGTGTGTGCATAACTGATGCATCTGGAAATGCATTTTATCTCCGAAAATTTTATTTGAGTAGCACTTTGTCTGTGACTGAATTTTATTTATTTGGGTATGGAACTGCAAAGACAACTTTGTTGTTGCTTTTATATATATTGAAATGAAAAGAAAATTTTTGGCCAAAACAATGAAAAGAAAATAGTTTCTTTTTTAATTATGTATAAAAATTCGTGTAACATCGTCTTATGGGATGAAAATTAATATTTTATGAAGTCTCAAAATGACAAAAACAATAAAATAAAAAATTAGAGTAAAATATAGGAAAAATTACACAGGTCCCACATAAGACAATTAATTCATAAAAAGTCCCTGGAAATTCCAAAATGATCCCTAAGTCCCCACGGACCTGTGTGTAATAAATTAAAATTATGAAATTACCTATTTACCCCTATTAATTTTATTGCAGTAATTTATTTACAACCTCAACAGTGGCTGTTGACAACCCGAGGAGAAGTGATTAACAATCTCGGCAGTACTCCTGACAACTCACTCTGTGGGATACTAGGGGACACTGCCGAGGTTGTTAACTACTTCTCATTGGGTTGTCAACGGCCACTGTTGAGGTTGTAAATAAATTGAGATAAATAGGTAATTTCACAATTACAATTTATTACATACAGGTCTCTGGGGACTTGGGAGTTATTTTGGGATTTTGAGGGACTTTTTGTGAATTAATTGTCTTGTATTGAATTGAGTGTAATTTTCCCTAAAATATAATGACATCTTCTCTAATTTTTATTAATTATATAATGCCAATTCCGCATTATTTTTAATTTTTTTTTTTAAACTTCTACATTACTTTCTTGGATCTCTTTTTGCCCAGAACTTTCCTAGACCTAGATGATACCATGGACCTACACATGCACACACAAAAGGGCAGTGTTGGCCGAAAAAAAATTTTGAGTAAGACTTTTATTACTGTGTAAATGAAGCTGAGGATGCTGCTCTGGTCGGCCATTTACCAATTTGGGTTTTGATTTCTGAACCGAACTTCTATGGGCCTTGATTTGAACTCTGGGCTCATTAGTGGGCTCTTCCAGCCGCATCATGAGTTCCAAAAGACAACGTTGTGTTAGAAGCCAGGGGAGACTATTATGGGCCTGAAGCCCAAGACACGTTATGGGCTCTGAAGCAAATAAGATCGTCTCTGGGTCTTGATTTGAACTCTGTGCTCAATGGTGGGCTCTTCCAGCTAGAATCATGAGTTTGAAACGACAACGTTGAGTCAGACACCAAAGGGAGATCCATTATGGGCCTCTAGCCCACGTTTTAAGCCCAAGGGTATTATGGGCTCTGAACCGAATAAGGTCTTCTCTGGGTCTTGATTTGAACTCTGGGCTCAATGGTGGGCTCCTCCAACTGAGTCATGACTTCGCAACGACGACGTTGAATCAGAAAGGGGGATTATGGGCCTCAAGCTTAAGTTCTGACCTTATGTGAACGGTTAGGATTCCGGTTCCCATCTTCTTGTCAATCTGAGTCGTTAGATCACGTGTCCTCATCCCAAGCAGTCAAGCTGTTCCTTACAAAACCCTAGTTTCAGACCCTGCTCAGTTTCTCTAGCTCGCCGAGAAAGATTAACGCTAATTTGAGCTCCGTAAGTGTCCCCTTTGTTCTTCCTCTCCACAATGTGTTTAGGATTTCTGGTTCTTTCATATTCGATTTGATAGTTTCAAGCTTCCTAAGTTCTTTGTGAAGCGGGTTTGCATTTAAGTTTCTAAATCGTGGTTCTGCTGTTCAATTTGAGTTTTTCTTCTTCTTGTTTTTTTCCCCTTAATGTTTTTATCCTTCATATATTTCGTTGAATCTACTTTTCCTCCTGCTTATATGGCGATGGGATGTTTCAGCTAGGGCAGAGCTGGGTAGAGATCCTTTAGTTTATATAATATGGATGTTCAGATTGATTTATAATGCTATGATAAATGGATTGTTATGATTTTTTTTCCACTTTCTCTTTTGGTTTTAGATATTTCATATTTGAGATTGGAATTTGGTTTTTTTCGGCTGCCCATTGATGCGTTTTTCTTCTTATTTTAGTTTAAGAGAGTAGAACTTCTGCGGAAGCACTACTCGTCATCCAACCTAAAGGATGAAGGTATGTGGATCTCTGAGGTGCTTTATCTCTCCGATAATGACATGGTCTGTAATGTTAGATTCCTTTCAATTTTCCAGTTCAACATTGCCAACCCCACCACTGGGTGCCAGAAGAAGCTTGAAATCGATGATGATGCTAAACTGTAAGTGAAAACATTTTGAAGTGCTTCAGTGCTTTTTATAGAATTATGCTTCTTGTTTAAGTAAAACTAGGCCGTTAATTTCTCCGAGAGTCCTGTGTCCATCTAGTAACTTCTTCATCAGCATGCCAAGATGCCCTAAAGAACGTAGACGGGCGACTTCAAGCCTTTGAGTCATTGACTTTTCAAATGAATGCTACTGTATTTTAAGTGGGACAAAACATTGACAAATTTCATGAGGCATTTCATGTTCGCTATCATGTTCTTACATAATTAGGCATCATAGATGCTTCAGAAACCAAATTTCGTTGCATGTCATCATTTTATTAAAGAACCTAATAGCAAATACATAATTAGATTTGCTCATTGCCCATGCTTCTTAGTGCACTATGCAGTTGTATTGTGAATGACCTTGATGTGTTTCTCTTACATGGTTTAAACATTATTCAATGGCAGCCGAGCATTTTGGGACAAGAGGATATCACAAGAAGTCAGTGGAGATGCACTAGGGGAGGTAAAATTTGCTAACTTCTGTTTGGAATTTTCCTATTTGAAATTGAATACGATGTTTAATTATTTGTTGTTTTGTTAATTATTTGCAGGAGTTTAAGGGCTATGTTTTCAAAATAACTGGAGGCTGTGACAAGCAGGGTTTTCCAATGAAGCAGGGAGTGCTGACTCCTGGACGCGTTCGTCTCTTGCTTCACAGAGGTCAATGCTTTATGTATCATTGGTTTTTTGTTTCCTTTTGTTTTGTGTAACTGCTGACGTGTGGTGTTTCTAGGAACTCCTTGCTTTCGGGGCTATGGCAGAAGGAACGGAGAGAGGAGAAGGAAGTCTGTTCGGGGTTGCATTGTTAGTCCAGACCTCTCTGTTCTTAACCTGGTTATTGTGAAGAAAGGTGAAAGTGATCTTCCAGGATTGACTGACATTGAGAAGCCCAGAATGAGAGGACCGAAAAGGGCTTCAAAGATTAGGAAATTGTTCAATCTCTCCAAGGAGGATGATGTCCGCAAATATGTTAACACGTACCGCAGAACCTTTACAACCAAATCTGGTGAGTCTACTGTGCTTTATTTGATGTCTGATCATGAACAAATTAAATCTTTAGTATGGATATTTTGTGATGATGTTGCTTAATATTTTACAGGCAAGAAGGTGAGCAAAGCTCCCAAAATTCAGAGGTTGGTTACTCCCTTGACTTTGCAAAGGAAGAGGGCAAGGATTGCAGACAAGAAGAAGAGAATAGCCAAGGCCAAGGCAGAGGCTGCTGAATACCAAAAGCTGCTTGCCAGCCGATTGAAGGAACAGCGTGAGCGCCGCAGTGAGAGTTTGGCTAAGAGGAGGTCTAAGCTCTCTGCGGCATCTAAGCCATCAGTTACTGCTTAATCTCTCATGTTCAGTCTTCCATATCGTTCTTGTAGGATAAGTGAGTTATTGAGGCGTCATGTTAGTTTTAGATAGACTTTATCCTTCGAGTTTAGTACTTTTTGCGGAAGTAAGCTATATAATCAACTTCTTTTTGAATTTTGTTGTATTTTTTGCTGCTGGATTTTCGTTGTTGCAAATTTGATACAATTTTTCATGAGTCTGATATTCTGATCCCGTTAGAAGATAGTGGCGTGATTAATAATAGGGATTGAGCTACTTGCGTGACTACAACCGTAGCATCAGGAAACACAATTTTATCAGAGTCTGGCATGGGCATGGCGACTTGAGTAGTGGTCAACACGTTCGGAATGATAATATTCAACAGACCATTAGTCCATTATTGAGCTTGAAGGCCTTATAAGAAATGCTGCCAAAACTCTTATTTTTATTGTCCCCGGCGAAAATAACAATTTAAACAGGGTGAAATGGGATTTTAAAACCTATACATCTGGCGAGCTTATACAAAGAAGGTGATGCCATGGAATACCATGTTTGTTGAGTCATCTGGGTTTGAAGGTGCAACAACGTCTCCGCTTCGCTACTGAGCTGCACACGAGAACTGAGAGAGTATTCTCTGCAGTCCAAAGGCGCGAGTAAAGATTAGAGCTGTTTCAGAGCTCTCATATAGCCTTCGTACGCCCCTGGGGAAGATTCTAGGTAACGATTGATGAAGTAGGTGCCACGGTGAGCATCAATGGCCTTTGGAGTTTGGGGGGGGGGGGTTCCGAGTTCCAACTTACAAGGATCATTAAAGCAATTTGGGTTTTGGTGGCACGTTAGGCCCCAATACGCCCGCAGGTCATGTCACGACTCATGAGCATCATTGAAAGTTTTGAAATTTTTTGGCATTGAACAAGAAATAGATGTTCAGGCCACCCTTCGCAGATATCATTGAACAAGCTAGGACGTTAATGAATGTATACTGGGTATTACTATTAATTTCATGTACAAAAAGGTTAACTAGTATGCTGATTCTTTAGCTGGATTGCCACATAATTGCTCATGTGACTCCCCCCCCCCCCCCATACATCTTCTACCAACAGCGAAGAATAGTTACGGTTAAGGCTGTTAACAAGACGGGAAGGAATTTCCGTCCCGCGTCCCTCTATCCTGTTTTTTTTTCTTTTTTTAAAATACAATTTTAGGTATGAATTTTTTATATTATAATGTGTTTTTTTATTAGGTTTCTAAAGATGAAAATATTATTAAAAAATATTATGTAAAAAACTCAATTATATAATATAAAAAAAGTGTAAAAATAGTACTGTATAAAAAAAATACCGCAAAAAAACAGTGTAATAGTTTTATGAATTATTTTATTGAGAAAAAAAATTTTATTGTGATAACACTGCATCTGCAACTTAAGAGCTGAGAATCACTATAAAAAATAATTATTATTAATAGATAATTAAAAAAACCCAGAAAAGGATGATTCCATCCCGTCCCGAATTTTTTTTTTTGTCCCTTCTTGTTCCATCAAGTTGAACACTCCTATTTACGGTGTGGAAGATGAAAAGAAGACTTCAAATAAATTTACTTCATACACAAAAGCTGAAATTTAAGCTTTTAATCACCTGCTTAAAAACCACGAGCTTCCACTTTTTGCATCTTTGACCAACGTATTACTGTAAGACGGTGGTGAATGAAAAGATGACGAGAGAACATGTAAATTTTTTTTTTTTAAATATGTATCGATTGTATTCCTGAAAGGAAAGTTTCAAAAGCATCATACTGTGACCGAATTCATAAGGGAAAGAAAAGGGTTTCAAAATGCCGTTTACTTTAAGGTAGTTAGCCGACAAAGCTTTCAACTTGTTCAATTTTAATATTTTTGGGGAAAAAAAGGGCAAAGCCTAACGTTCAGCCACAATGAGGCCTGCAAAAACAATGGGGAAGAATGCATGAACAAATTTTTATTGGCGACAAGGAACATAAAACCTAACCCTAACTCAAAAGACAACTTTAGAAATTCAAAGGGCCTGACAAGGACAAACTACACACTGTTTGTGATGCCATGTCTATGTTCACATGTCCCTTATCTTCGTATCTACCAGGATATGTTTGGTGAGAATATATAGATGTTTGTATTATTATCAATATAAAATTTAAGATAATATAATAAGATATAAACATTGCAATTTATTTTTTTAAACTCTGCATAAGGTTTAAATTTAGTTATTATTCAATAACTGTTTGCTAAAATAGATCTCATGCAATTCATGAAGTTTGAAATGACTAGCAATGTATATGATTTTTTTGTAAGAATTCAATTGGGATCTTATGCTTGTCAATTGAAGAGCTCAATTGAAATGAATTCAATTTCTCAAAAATAATACTCCTCTGGTCCTTAATATAAGATTCAATTCTTGAATTGGTTTTGGTCCTAAATATAAGACCTATTTTTCATGTTTATTAATTTTCTCTAAATTACCCCTCTGGATACTCCCTCAACCATAATCAAGTAGAAGAGAGAGAGGGGGTATTAAGAAAGATGATTATGGTCTTTTAGGAAAAATGTGTCACTTTTCTTATAATTAACCAACTTACCTAACTTTCTTAATATAATCAAATTAGTTAAATGGGTCTTATATTAAGGATTGGAGGAGTATGAGCTCAATTGATTTAGTGTGAATTAGGAAAAGTGGTCTGACGTTTGTTGAAAGATATTAGTGTAAGCTTTTAGATAAATTATGAAATAGTGAAAACTAAATGACTAGTGGTGGAGTGAAGAGTGGGATAACAAATATTAGAAAAGGGGAAATGGGAATGTGAAATCCAGTTGTAGGGAGGGCCAAGTGCATGTGCATGTGCAGCAACAAGACCCACAAGATTTGGCTTTTTAATAAGTTTGTGGGGACACCAAATCTTTGTTATTTCTATTCTCTTCATTCAACCTTTTCGGTTTTCAACTCATTTCTGTCTCCCACAGTCAAAGCCCTAACATGAATTCTGCTTGCTCTCGTCTCTCACTGGATTTGCATCTCTTCACCAAAGTAACAGTTAGGCATGTCTACTTCTACTCCCCCGGCCGTAACTACTTTAGAATGTAATTTACATTATTGAGTGAGTTTTATATTTAAAATCAGAGAAATATTTTTTTTTTTTATCTGGAAAGTACCACATCACAACACCCACCAATTGTTCCTTATGAATATTAATAAAATTGTTGCCATGCCTGTAATTTAATCAGGGACGGTTTCAAGATTTTTTTTTGGAAAATAATTTATTTTCTACCCAAGTTTTAATATAATTGAATAAAGCTTAAAATAGTACTATAGAGATAAACACATAAATTTGATTAACATAATGGGTGTGGCATCATGATAATTGCAAATCAGATTGGATAAGGACAACGATACTTAGATATATTCTCAAGGATCTCCAAAATTAAAAAAAAAATCACCGCACAAGAGATTGAGGAAACGTTGAACGTGGAAAGCTATATACATAGAGTGCTAGATAGAAGAAATAAACGGCAATTTCAAATGAAATTCTTGCTATATAGATTCAAAGTTTCCACATAAGAACATCAATTTAAATTGTACTATTGCCCTTATGCTGTACAAGCTCACCCTGTTACTTTTCTCATAGCAAGAGAATCTCAACCTCCCAGCTGTTGAATTCAATATGGTGAATAGTGGGGTTGAGTTTCCCTTAAAAGGTTTCAACTGAACTTGTCCAAAAAAATGGTGAAAAATAAAATCACAGAAGAAAGAAAGACAGAGGAAACGTGATAATAACTTTAGGAAATCAAAACGAAAGGTGATCTATGAGGGATGGCTTTTCTTGGGCGTTTTCTTGGAATCACAACCTCAGCTCTCTCATATGGCTCTGCCTCAGAGATTGATGACTCAGTTTCTGAGTTCTGATTATCATTCAGAGAATGGTCAGAAACTTCTGGTTTTGGAGAATTGATTAATTTTGGCTCCGCTGAAATCACTGAGATCTGGAAATTGCACATGATTCGAATGAAAAAATTGTTCAGATTCAAGAAAAGTAAGCAACACAATTGACCGCACTTGAGAGTATCGCAGTTACCTTGCATGATATGGAACAGAAGCAATTACGCTCATCTTGTAAATGCTTTCCACATTCTTCACAAACACCTCCTGACTTTGATTTGCTCGACGGTTTGGTATCTCGGGATAGGGATTCAGGAGTACTTACATCAACAAATTTCTCTCTCTTTGATGGTTTGGTACTCTTTGATGAAAGCCGAGGATTGAGATGTATGATCTTTTCATTATTTGATATGTAGGTCTGCCGAATCACATCACCATTGTAAGGAAACTATGCTCATCAATCTCAAATTCAAGTGAAAAGCTTGCTATGATCGTGAAAGTTAGTTTGCTGAATAAGACGTACTCAGAGAGAAATGAACATCAGTCAGAAAACTTATTTCATAGATTTCCAAATCAGAAAATTATCGGGCAGAATCTAAGAAGGATAGACACCACGCACGATAAAGTCTAAATTGTGGAAATATAACTTTAAGTATCATCTCATATCTTATAGGAGTGCTTATCTATGTGTGTAGATACAAATACCACGCAGCTCTTTTCAAATGTTCATGCTTCATAGATAGAAATTCGTTTCATAATTAATAGGATAAAAGATTTCTGATGTAAGCTCATTTTGGCAAATTTAGCTCATTGAATTCAACAAATTAACATACCATTGATGTTTAGGAATGCTGGAGAAGAGATACATTTATCTCTTAACATTAGTCTCACCCAACCCATAGATACATTTATACCCGATTCTACAACTAATTGGAGAATAATTTAATTCTACAACTAATTGGAGAATAATTTAAGTTAAGCAAGTACAAAATCAATTTCTTTCTAATAATGAATTAAAAGCTATCTTGTGTTAAAACAGGAGAAAACCTGAATTCTTGAGGAGTCAAAATACTTCTGCAACTCTGAATGGCGAACAACATCTTGGTAAACGTATTTGTATATCTGAATCCTTCTATGGAGGGTATGAGCTCCCTTGCAATGCCTGCACAAGCTAAGTTCACAATCTATACAGAAAACATTCTTCTCATTATACCTAAGGTGTTGATGATCATCACAATGGCCAAAAGTGCTATGCAAGAGAGTTCTAAGCCATTCTGTGCTCTTCTTTTCCTCAGGTAATAGAGTGTGTCTCACCTGCAAAATTCAACAATTTTCCCCAGAAGGAATTAAAAGAATCCAAGGCAAAATACAGTTCAAGAATCAAAGGGGAAAATTCCAATAGCAAGCCTTCTCCTTCGTCAAATCACCAGATGGCTGATTTGTTTACACACAATAACCCAGTTTAATTAAACCATAATCAAGATAGCCAGTAAACTCAGTTTGGAAAATTCATATTCCCCTTGACTGACACCGAGTAGATGACAGAAAAATCACTCCAATGCACAATACAGTTCAAAAATGAAAAACAAAAATTTTAACAAGAAGTCATCTTCCTCGTCAAATCAGCAGCAGATGAATTTGAGTACACTCTATCTCAGTTCAAACCTTATTCAAGACAACCTATAAACTCAATCTTCACAATTCATATTCCTCTTGACAGAAACCAAATTGGAGACAGAAAATCACTCCAAGAAGTGTAATTGATTAGTGTTAATATCATATTCAAGAATCATAAGCGCAGTCCAGCCAGAAAGCTCAAAACATGGAAATGAAGTCAAATAAATAGAATTAAATTAAAAAAAATGCAAAACCGATGAAGCCCATCAATCAAAGAAGAAAGAATTCTTTTCGTGTTCTTACCATCTCTGGAGCACGATTTTGATTTCAGAGAACTAATAGAGGCGGCGGGTGGTTGATGAAGAAGCACAAAACCGAGAAGGCTCTAGTGTGCAGTGAGAAGTTCAAAGGCAAGAAAAAAGCGAGGCATATAGAAAGAAATATGGGGTTAGATTGATAGCATTATAAAGAGAAATGCAATAATTAGAGAACCCGGGAAAAAAAAAAAAAAAAGGAAAGAAAGGAAAAAAATTGAAAATGGAAACAAAGCCCTTTACAGAGCAGCGTTGCTGTATGCGTTTTGTCAGCAGAGGGGTGGCCTACCATCGGCGGGAAGAGCGAAGAGGTCAGGGCCGTTGGATTGGACCGCCATCGTACGGTGTCGCTGTTTCAGAATCCTTGGGGCCAATGTACTGAATATATCGTGGGACCCACGGCAGGAAAATGAGACCTGAAACGCGGCGTTATCACAAACGTACCCGAGGCCCGACTCCCAGTTCCCGCCAATTTGACCGAGAATTTCGGAGTTGCTATTCTTTTTTTAATTATTATTATTATTATTCTTTTTCGCTTTGCCACCGTTTTCTTTTTTGGAAATTATTCACAGTGATTTACGGACACTAATCAATTCACGAATCGTAAATATTATTTATTGCCAGTTGCTTTTAGCATATGTTATCTATTATTTAATTATTATCGTGAAATACTCATATATATAAATAATACAAGGTGAAAACAGACTATTTGTCTATATGATATCAATATCTAGATTCTGTCAAATATTCTTCACATAAATATTGTAGGAAAAATCTCCAAAAAAAAGTACTATTATAAATCAGTTTTATTTACTACACTTTAATAATATTTGATTATACTTAAAAAGTAAATAATAACATATTTTTTAAGAAATTCATAATTTGAGATTTTGAAATTCAAGATATACTTTTTCAGGGTTTTTCAATATTGTTTATTTGTTGATACACAGAAATATGCTATATCCAAAAAAAATATTTGTGAACCAAATACTTCTCATAAAAATTCCATATATTATATATAGATGAATATAAATTTTTGAAAATATGAAATTACAAAGTTGTTTCTTTCATTAATTGTGGATTTATTTGGAATAGCGTTGAAAAGTATTTATAACCACGTTTTAAGTAAGTCGAAACAAACTTTTCTACCATACAGCATGTTTATGTTGTATTTTACAAATTACGTTTGAAAAACTACTTACAAGCTATTTCAAAATAGTCTCATAGTGTACTAATTTGATTAGTTTTTTTATTTCTTCTTATGACATGCAATCAATTGTTATTTGTTCCCATGTTGATTAATATGATAATTATGAAAATGCTTGAAGTAGCCTGAGAATTAATTTGAAAGCAAACAAATCAGTGAAATGGTAAAAACCCTTTTTAACCTTCGTATTTAATAATAAATTATTTCAACTTTAAATGCGGTGTTTCTTTCCTTCAATGTATCATTCATTCGGATACAATTTTTTCCCATGTCGGTTTATCATGTGTGTTTAAATCTAAAACTAACTGATAAAATAATTTCTATATTCAAATTACAGTAATCTTGAGTTTACTGATATATGTGTGTGTGTAAATAAAATAACTCGGTGGTGTTGGAGATCCTTAAATTTTTATATATAAAAAAAGACTTGTTCTAGCAAGAAAATGATGAATTAATTAGAATGTATTATATAAGAATAACTTTTCTTTATAGGCTATTAAAAAGGTTATTTATAACTAGCAATGCATAAAGACATATTTTGTAAGATAATGCAGATGGGTGGAGTTGGGAATTCATCTTAAGTATAGTTTCTCTTGAGATTATGTGGATTATTCTAATAATGTAATTTTTTATATCTTGATATTGTTTAGTTGCGGGGATTTCAAGTATGGATCGGTGAAGTAAGAAATTGTGGACTTCAATGTTGAAAGAGTTTGGAATGAATTAATGAGCTAACGCAAGGCATTTAGAATTGTACGTGTCACGTGTATTAATTTTTATTTTCAAAGTATCATGAAAAACTTGACATGTCTTTTTCCTCTTGTCCTTGACCCCCAACTACCATCTAGATTTTGAATAAATTCAATTAAACAACCATGAGTTATGGCCTTAATCACCATAGGGACAAAACTAAAAAATACTCCTCCAGCTCATTAATATGAGACTCAATTATTAAGTTAGTTTTTATCCTAAATATAAAATCCACTTCTCATATTTATCAATTTTCTCTGAATTACCCCTATGAATACTCTCTCAACTATAATCAAGTAGAAGAAGGAGATGAGGTATTAAGAAAGATAATTATGGTATTTTATAAAAAACACGTTACATTTCTTATAATTAACTAACTTACTTAACTTTCTTAATCTAATCAAATTAGCTAAATGGGTCTTATATTAAAAACAGGAGGAGTATATATTTTAAAATTATAAAATGTCTCGCATTTTGATTTTTAAACTAACAACAGCACATAGAAAATGTGCAACATTCGTGATTGAAAAATATATATATACTCCTCCGATCCTTAATATAAAATCTATTTAACTAATTTGATTAGATCAAGAAAGTTAGGTAGGTTATTTAATTATAAGAAATATGACATATTTTTCTTAAAACACCATAATCATCTTCCTTAATATTCTCTCTTCATCTTCTGCTTGATTATAGCTAAAGGAGTATCCATAGAGGTAATTTAGAAAAAAATCGATAAATATGAAAAATAGGTCTCATGTTTAAGACCAAAATCAACTCAATAATTAAATCATATACTAAGGACCGGAAGAGTATTTAGACTAGCTAGAGATGTCTACGTAGCAAGAAAACTATGTGGCATTTTTGTTTTTTGAGGTTCAAATATATAAATCGATCCAAGGCCAAAAAAAATATACTCTTCCGATCCTAAATATAATATCCTTATACACACTAATATAAGAGTCTTATATTTAGTATCGGAGGAATATAAATCAATCTTAATTTGGGTATTATTCTTGCGATCCCTGCTCCCAAGCATGTTTTCGGGTAATATGGTTTCTATTTCACTGAGGAGTAATATTTATGGAGAAAGAATCTGCGTAAATGTAAATTGATTCAAGTTCAACCTCACCGATTTCACTCACATTTCATAATATTCCTGGGATTATACTACCTCCACGTAGATAATTAATTTAATAATACTATAAAAATTAGTTAAATTAGTTCTTTGTAATAAATTAATATTATTTTATGTAAAATATTCTTATCAATTACTCATAAAAACTCCTTAACATGTATAATAACTGTATAAATTATTTCAGGTAAAATAAATTAATATTGGAAATAAAATAGATTGGAGTTTTATATTTAAAACTAAATTGAACTTAGAACTAATTCTTATATTAAAAACAAAAGGCAGCATCTTAGATTGAACCCTAAATAACAATATAAATGGAAAATATTTTATTTTGTGTTTAATAAATAAAAATTAGAAGTATGTATTTTGTTCTTTAATTAATTTTACATAATGTTTTATTTTAGTTTTTTTACTTCAAAAAATATATTTTAATCATTTAATTTTAAAATTATTATTTTTTTGGGACAAAAAATTCATTATTCTCAGAAGGTATTTTTTGTAATAATCAAAGTTGTTTTCAAAACTAGATACGTCAACATTTGATAACATTTTATTAACATTTAAAATTTCAATATCATTTTTTGTTAATAATATTAAGATTAAAAGATTAAAAATATTTTTTTAAAAATTAAAAAATCAAATTAAGATCTTATATAACATTAAAGGACAAAAAATTTTAGTCAAAATCGGGAAAAAAACAGTTTGACGAGAAAAAAGAAACTTTTTTTTATTTTGTTTATTGAGAAGAAAAGGAAACTTTAAGGAAAAATAATAAAAAAAGACAGCCAAAATAGAAAAATTGTAAATGGGAACTCATGATAATATTAATATGGTTTTTGATAATAAATTTTATAAAAAGATCCCTATATGTAATTTTTTAATTTTTTACTTTTTTAATTTTTTTTTATTTTCCCAAACTTTAACAGGAGGAATGGCCAATTGGAATAGTATAACACGGCGCGAACTCTCGGTGGCATAACTGCATTCCTATGCCGTTGTTCTCAAATTACCGAACTGCCCTCGTCATTTCATGCACATCAAAACTACCATCTCCACAATCTTCATCAACGTTTCCATTTTCTCTCCGTGCTTTCTTGCCCGCCATTGTCGCCTCTGGCTTTGTCAAACATTGTATGATCTCAAAATGACTGTAAGTTTTCGCTTTTCCATGTTCTTTTGCTTAGATCTGCAGAGTTCGTCATACATTCTTCTCACTGTTTTGGTGATAGTTCCTATGAATTTCTAAGTATCACTATCCATTGTCCTATGAAGTTTGTGTTCGTTTTACGATTCCATATGGATTTTCCGGATATGTTTTTCTTCGTTGTTTATTGATTGTTTTTAAGCTCTGCTTGGACTCTCAGATTCTACTTCCAGTACTAGATAATTTTTTGCCGGATGAGAATTTCCATCGCAGTTCTTTCATAATTTGCCTTCCTTGTTAACCATAGGCAGTGATACATAAACCCATATGATTTTGCAGCTCAAATTTTCAATAGATCTTCTTGAGTCGTCCATGTTGCAATAGGGGCAGTATAGTTTACAGTTAGTGGCAAAATACAATTGGAATTGGTAAAAACATAATGCTTAAGGAAGATCTTCAGATAAATTTATCATGGAAGGCTTTTTTTTCCCCCTTTCCTCTTTTTAACAATTTTCAGTTCTAGAAGAATAAAGCAATCTATATCTCCTTTGTTTTGATTCGCTGTTGGCCTTAAGGGGAGCCATTAATCACCTTATGGACAACCTAGCCAGTCAATGCGCTAAACGTGCAGTGCAAATGCCTCCACGCCCACCCACAAAACCTATAGATGTGGGGCTTGACGCAATCACTGCAAAGAAATAAAGTTGCATTGTAATTAATAGTTATATCTTTAATGATACCAGAGTGAGGTCATAAGTGTTAGTTTTCTGGGTCTCCCTTGTGTGTATGTTGGGGGTGAATAGTGGCCTTTGAGGGGCCAGCAATCACCAATTCGTCAGTGCAGCAGGCATGCACTATGCAGCCTCTTATGCCTTCTCATAGCTCGCATTGATGTAGGGTTTTGTACCGTCATTATAACGAAATAAAGATGCGTTATGACTAATATCTTTTGATACAACGTAAGTGCTTAATTCTAACATTTCCAATCTAAGCCTAAAAGCTTATATTTCTTATCTGGTTATTGGTATGCGCCTATGCGGGGTTACAGAGCTGGCTTCTTTTAGTCGCTGACTCGTTTCACTGCGAATACACCGGAATTTTATGGTTGAAAATAGACAAAGAAAATTCTTTGCAAGCTGATCTGCTTAACTAATCGGCCCCTAAATGATATTTACGCACTTATGAAGGAGGAACCTGGTAGATATTGTTTTAAATCTTGAATCAATGCGGTGGTATTGCTATATGTAATGATCCTATGCCAAACTGATTATTGACATGTTGATTTATGCTAAACAAGAAACGTAATGATTTATTAATGAACAAGTTGATGTGATAATCTAGAAATACCTGATTTAGCATTTCATATGCAGGCCTGTGTGGAGCATACCGATCAACAAGCATCTAACTGGACGATCCATGTTTCAGATGTGAGTAAAAAATTTGTTCACATTATGATGATAGAATCCATGATCACGGATCAATATCATGTTTTCTGTATAGACTCCTATGCATAATATAAACTTGCATGACATTATAAAACATGCCGTATTAGAATGAGCATTTGAAAACTAGTGAGTATATATGCCACACTTACGAGATAATCTAACTGCATCTTTGCTCAGTGGACCCAAAATGGCACGAACAGGTCTATTTTCATTTGCATTTTGATTCATATTTTATCTGCTGGTTTCGGTTATAACCTTGGTTACTTTTCGATTATGTCAAAGATCATCCTAAAAAACAATTCTATGTGCCTTATGTTGTGTATTTAAATTAATGCCAAATTGTTTAAGAGTTTATCTGATTTCGGTTATTCCTTGGCAAAGCATCAAGTTGATTCCTCTTTTATCTCTGACAGGTAAGAACAGTCAAGGTTAGTAACATATCACTGGCAACTTCTGTGAAGGATATAAGAGATTTCTTTTCATTTTCGGGCGACATTCAATATATTGAGATGATAAGGTCAGTTCGGTTGCATTTTTATGTTTTTGTTATAGGCGAAAGGTCATCCTCAATATCTTTGATGGTAATTCCATAGGGAAAGTGAGATCACTCAAGTTTCATATGTTACCTTTAAGGAATCAAAGGGAGCAGACACAGCAGTACTGTTGACGGTACATTCTTATGCATACAAGTGTTATATTAAAAACTAGATGCGTTCATACCAATGTACATAATTTTCCTTTAGCCCATGCCTTCCAGAAATCATAGAGACTTGACTATTTTTTTATACAGGGAGCCAACATAGGTGATCACTGTGTCAACATCACACCCGTTGAGAACTACCTGCTGCCTCCTGAAGCCCTTCCTTCAGGACCAGTAAGTACCAGATCATTAATCTAAATTTCGTTATGCATCTTATATGCAATTGCTTCTCTACTGTTGTAGCATTTTAGGCTGCTCAAAAGAGAATGATAAGCAACACTTTACAAGATTTACTTTTTGCTGATGAATACAGAAACTTGCTTGCTACTTCATGTAGTTGATGAACCAAGACTGCGGTGTTCGGTGTCTATGTCATGATGTTAATAAGATGAAAGTTTTCGGCACTTTTTTTTCCTTTGCATTTTCCTCCAAGATGATGGCATAAAATCTGCTTGAACTTGAGATTATATAAATGGCCCGTCCATAAAAAGATTGCTGCATTGAGCTAGATAACAAAATAAATGGCTATGCGATGGATGTGGTACTCATCAGCATTCGTTTGCTGAGTATATTCAATTTTTTTTTTCTTTTTGTGATTGGCGAGAAGAAATCTTCAGATCTTTAATTGGATCTATATGGATGGAGAAGTTAACTAGAGGATATTTACTTTTTTCTTCACTTCATGCCCCTTTTCCAAAGTTATGAGTTTAACCTCCCATTATTCTAGTTCTAGATATCGGACAGAGCTTCTAATGAACACTGTTTCTTGCAGGAGAAAAAGCCAACTCCTGCGGCAGTTAAGAAGGCAGAAGATGTGGTAAGTACCATGCTCGCGAAGGGTTTCATTCTAGGAAAGGATGCAATCAACAGGGCAAAATCCTTTGATGAACGTCATCGTTTGACGTCAAATGCTTCCGCCACGGTAGCTTCCATTGATCATAAAATGGGTTTAAGTGATAAACTAAGCATTGGAACAGCCATACTGAATGAGATAGTCAAAGAGATGAATGACAAACTTCTAGTCACCGAAATGACCAAGTCTGCTCTCGCTGCTGCTGAGCAGAAAATGAGTAGCGCTCGATCCGCTATCATGAGCAATCCTTACTTGTTAACCGGTGCTTCATGGCTGTCAAGTGCCTATACCATAGTTGCTAATGCAGTTGGAAATGTCAGCATGATGACCAAGGAGAAGGTTGAACAGGCTGAGATGGAAAAAGAGATCATTTTCAAGGAAAATGCAGGGTTCCTTGATAAGTTTGGGAGGATGCACTTTGATGGAACTTCAGCTGCGGGCCTTCCTTTGTTTTCTGTCCATTCAGGCAATGTCCATATGTGATTGCAACTCACTCACAATGATCCCTCACGGAACATATCCTTGTCACCAATGCGGTTAGATTGATTATTAATCTTTATTAGTTACAGCCAAAGTTGATGCGACTTTGTTGAGCCGACGAATCTGTCAATGTTGAATCTAATAATGATGTAAAATTGTCTGACAGACTTAATCAATTCTTAAGTATACATCAGCAATTTACGGAAAAGATTCATTATTATTTGTCGACATTTTATTGAATTTTATTTATTTTAGGGTTAATATAATTTTTAATAGTGATTGAAATTTATTTAAGTCCATTTTAGTTTTAGTTCTTCGAGTTTCAAACATGTGATTTTAATTTTTGAAATTTAATCCGTCTTAAAATGTTCTCTAGAAATATAATGATGTTAAAATCTATATAAATAGAAATGAGTTCTCAAAACATGACACAATGGAAAATTTATCAAGCAAATATGAGGGGGAAAAAAAGAGCTAAACAATGATGTTTTGGGGACTTGTTCTTTGATTTTTTTTTCCCTTCTATTATCCACACAAGATTCAGTTAGATATCATCTAATGAGTTCACATTACCACCTTAATACCATTTATGACAATTTAACAGATTTTAACACCATTACACTTTTAAAGACTAACATTTGATTGACTTTTAAAGATTAAAACTATAAGTTTAAAATTTGAAAGAGCAAAACCAAAATAAGTTGACCAAAAATTATATTAAATCTTTATTTCATCAAAACCCTTTTCAGCCAAGTTTGATAGCAGACATTTTAAACATTAACGTGCTGTTTGACAAAGACAAATTCATAATGCAAGAACTAAATTTTGTATTACCCTCAAGTTTGTTTTGGTCAGGCCAAGAACTAGTTGTTTTTATAGGGCATTAACATTTTCAGAAGAATCTTGTACCTATTGCTAAGTTTTTACAGGATCACTGAAAATCATTTCATCGAAGTGAACACAAGAACCCCCCAGCTGATACTTTAAGGGGATTGACAAACTCAGAATTTGAGCACATCAAAGGAATCTTTTGAATAAAAAATAAATACGCAAGGAAAAGATAAATCAGATATGACTCGATTCTTCCTACAAATCTAATGACAAGCGGCTATAGTTTTCTACTTTTTATTCATTTGTTTGTTTATTATTTCATATTTCTGAAACAATCATATCAAGAACGTTGATGTCAGGCAGCTTTTTTTATTTAAAAATAATTTATAATATAATATCCATAATTTTTATAATTATTGATTCGCTTCCGTATTAAAAAGTTACTAACAATTTTTTTTTTGGAATAATCATTGTCATCGCCGGCAGAAAAAAATATCATCATCGTCGTCGACATAATATGAATATGCCCTGAAAAGAGTGGGAAGGTTTATATAATTTTAACAGATTTGAACGGTAAGTTTTGTATCTTGCTCTAATTATGACTAGCATTGTACCGATGACGCAGGAAGATGTTCTTATAAATCATGTCTAAAATATTGTCTTGATATTTAAAAGCTGTGATATAATAATTAATATGAAATATGAAAAATGATTCTAACAATAATTCAGGTATTAATTGTTGAAAATCAATAAAATAAAATGCTGCCAAGTCCGAATTACTGAGTAGATGGCGAAATAGGATGCTTACTGAGTTGGCTTTCACCTGGTAATCTGCGGTCTTGTCAGGGAGACTGGAAGGTGAGGCCGTGCAAACATAAAAGGATCGGTGAGGCTCTTGATCCCAACATCTAAAGGGAGATCGGTGAGGCTATCAAACCTTCACTTGCCGATGCCTCGGTGATGTCAGATTGACGCTCGGCTCTTTTGGTAATTCTCCTTTGTCGTTTGCATACTTCGATTCTTCCCCTCCTTTACAGAAACGCGCGCCCGCGCGCTCTCTTGGGCTCTTTTCATTTCACGTGTTCTGAAACTTTGATCGTTTGATATTCGAAATGGCTATCGGTCTTTGACATGCAGATTCTAATTGAGCTATGGTTGAACTTGAACATTTGAAAGTTTAAGCTTGGACTGATGCTCGGAATAAGTTAATCTGTTCTTTATTGGGTCATGTGCGCTTGAATCTAATTTGATTTTATGTTGGTTTCAGCGTTAGAAATCTCTTTGACGTTTGCACAGTGCACATATTTTGTTTTCTGGTGAGTATGGGAGAACTTGCGTTGCGGGTGAAGGTTCAGACTGCTTCTTCTTGTTTTTTTTTTTTTTTTTGGGTTCTTTGTTTGCACTGGTTAGTGATAACGAAGGAGGAAAAGAAATCGGGGCAACAATAAAGGTTCCATGGAAACGTAAAACCAATTCTTATAGTAGTGCGAAGGAAAAAGCTAACTGTGCTTCCTTTCGCTATTGTGCGTTGTAGTTTTTCAACGAATCTCAGGGTTTGAGCGACGGAAGTCTTTTTCTCTAACTTCAATGTAGCATTCCGCTTCTAAGTTGCTTATCCTTGCTTATGTTACCTTTGTGCCTTTGTCCTTGCTATCACTCTGCATGTTCTCTCCATCGACATTAACCTCAAAATTCATAAGCAGCTGTAGTTAGTGATGAAGGACCAGGAAGGTGTCCACCTTATCCTTTCTTCCTATCTGTATGAGACAAAACAACCTGAACTGCATCACTTGATTACCCTAAGGCGTTATTTTTCCCCCATCGCTTTTGTGAACGTAGGTTATTGCATCACTACGCTGAAGCTTTTTTCATAATTTTTGTCATTTATGTTGCTGTTGCCCATGATTCAGTCAAACACATAATTTATAGTCAATCATAGTCTCGTGAATAATTCATGGCCCGAATTAATTAGGCTTTTAGCATGAGTTGTCATGTCTTTGAACCCTCTCTTTTTAGTCTGTGTTTTTATGGTGCCTGGACTTGTGCCTCTTTTATACGTATATGTCTTGTGACTCTGAATTGTTTGTTGTTTAGGTGTTCTTTCTCTATCTTACGTCATTAGATATTGGAAAGGACAATGGGTTTATCATCTGCTGCTGTTTCCAAGGAAGCCATACAATTATGCGTATTTGATTTGAGGAGAGGACAGCATGAAGGGCAAGAGCTGGATAAGATTTTGTTTTTCTTCCCAGCTGATTTGCCCTTCTCTAAACAACTTTCTGTTATTGGGCTTAGTGAAGGACTGATTACATTTACAAGGTAAGCTTCACTGTTATCATGTATGTGACTTGAAAGAGAAGTTGTCTAGGATCTAATATCTGCATAAAAACTTGATATTATTGTGGGATGGTGATATATCCGTAGGACTTTTGGTTCTTATATTTGTTTTTAAAGCTTCAATTTGGGGCTTATCTGTAATAACCTATTCTACCAGTTCAACCAGGTTTTCGTGGTCCTATAAACATTCCATCTTGGATATTTATGATTAAGTTCTTACTGGTTTTTGAGAAGCTTATACCCTGAGTTTGCAGGATTTTCTCTCCAGAGGCTGCATGTGAAGTCATTGAAGCAGAAAGGCATTCTCATGTCTTTTACGAGGCAGAACCAGATATATGGATGGTGATGGTATGTAATTTATTTTTCTCTAAATTTCCGGAGCTCATAGATCTATTTAATGAATGATTAGATCTAAATTTTATTGCGAACTTGTAAGACATTGTTATCATTATGGAATTTTTTTAATGATTCAAACATTATGTGTGATGTTCTTCTAAAGTACTGATGCCATCCTTATCTTGTCTCCTTTTCTTATTTGGAAGTTAAATTATCAGCTCATCTACTTTCTTGCAGTCATGTCATGTGGTCGTTTTTGTGTAATAAAGGCTAAGCCCTTTCAGCAATTTGTCTTTCAAATTTCAAAACAATATGCCGTATGGGGTGTGTTGTGGTTTTTTATCTGGTAGAGGGCATTTGTTGGGGTGGAAATTGATTTTTTTTTTTTTTTACTTATTCTGTATCTCTTTGATTTATGCTAATTTGTTCATAATAGTTTCATATGATAGCGGTGCATTTTAGATGAGACTGAATAATGATGGGTGATTGATTGCTGCAAAACATCTCCTATTCATAGATCTGCGCCTGCCTTTTAGATGAGACTGAATAATGATGGGTGACTGAATAATGATGGATGTCAGGATTTGCTTGTACGTGTGGGTTTGGTTTGAGCTCATGCAATATGCTTTTCAACAATTAATTAACATCCTCCTTGAGCTAAATGAATATGCAGTTTTTGAACATTTCTTAGTGAATACTTCATTGATCATATTTGTAATGAATATATTACTAGATCAAATTTAGTTTGTTGAATATATAACATGAGTGAACTTGCCTTTAATTTTAAGTTGTTACCTTATAGGTGGTTGAGAAAAATAATGATGCAGAAACTACATGGCGGGATGATGCATTGAGAAAGGTTCTCAAGGAAATACACTCGCTTTTTGTTATGTTTCATGGAACTGTAAGGGCTATGATTGAGAAAGAACCTAGTGGAGGACTTGTCAGACGTCATTTGTATTCTTTTATCATGGATTATTTGAGGGGTAAGTCTTCATGATAGAAAAAACCTATGAAATCTTGATTTCCTGTTTGTGTTATGATTGAAGATGTTCATTGTAAGCCATAATTGTCAGCGTGTAAAAAGCGGTCTCCATGGGATAGTTGCTGCTGTGGTAATGGTGAAGTTGCTGTATCAAATGGTTTCTTTGGATCTATGCTGCCTGAGTGATGCCGAAGTAGCTCTATCTCTTACCTTAATTATGAATTTTCTCTTTGAGGCAGATTTTCTTGTGGGGAAAAAGCTTCTTTTACCATCATTTCGTGATTGTTTGAAGGAACGTGGGACTGTGCAGATGTTGACAATAGGTCGGGAGGCTGCTATTGAGGTTCAGGTTAGATGTAGTTTGAGCTATTGTCATATACACGAGATTTGAAACTACTGCAGTTATTCTGAATCTAGGATGCTAAGCCTCCTGGATTATTAACTACTTAGAATTCTTTCACAAAATCTTCCTGTTCCCGCTGTAGTGGTGATTTCATTGCTTGCAGCAATCAGCAGTTGGTCCCCATCTCACTTTTTCTCCTCTTATTTCT